CATAGACTGGGACATACAGACAGTACATATACTGGGACATGCAGACTGTACATAGACTGGGACATCCATACAGTACACAGACTGGGACATACAGACTGTAAATAGACTGGGCCATACAGACAGTACATAGACTGGGACATCTAGAGTCTATATAGACTGGGACATCCAGACAGGACATAGTCTGGGACATCCAGACAGTACATACACTGGGACATCCAAACTATACATAGACGGGGACATCCAGACAGTACATAGACCGGGACATCCAGACAGTACATAGACGGGGGCATCCAGCCAGTACATAGACTGGCACATCCAGACAGTTCATAGACTGGGACATCCAAACAGTAAATAGACTGGAACATCCAGCCAGTACATAGGCTGGGACATCCAGATAGTACATATGCTGGGACATCCAGACAGTACATAGACCGGGACATCCAGACAGTACATAGACTCGGACATCCAGCCAGTACATAGACTGGCACATCCAGACAGTTCATAGACTGGGACATCCAAACAGTAAATAGACTGGAACATCCAGCCAGTACATAGGCTGGGACATCCAGACAGTACATAGACTACATAGACTGGGACATCCAGACAGTACATAGACTGAGACATCCAAACTGTACATAGACTGGGACTCACAGAAAGTGAATATAAAGGCACATCCAACCAGTACATAGACTGGGACATCCAGACTGTACATAGGCTGGGACATCCAGATAGTACATATGCTGGGACATCCAGACAGTACATATACTGGGACATCCAGACTGTACATAGACTGGGACATCCAGACAGTACATAGACTGGGACATCCAGACAAAGTGAATATAAAGGCACATCCAACCAGTACATAGACTGGGACATATAGACTGTACATATACTGGGACATCCAAACTGTACATAGACTGTGACTCACAGAAAGTGAATACAAAGGCACATCCAACCAGTACATAGACCGGGACATCCAGACTGTACATAGACTGGGACATCCATACAGTACATAGACTGTGACATCCAGACAGTACATAAACTAAGACATCCAAACAGTACATAAACTGAGACATCCAAACAGTACATAGACTGGGACATCTAGCTATAGACAGTACATAGACTGTAAATATAATTGGACATCCCGACAGTAAATATAAAGGGACATCCAGACAGTGATTTTAATGGGACATCCAGACAGTAAATAGCATGGGACATAAATATTCATTCACATGCAACTTATTGTGTTGCTTACCTATGTCAATTGTGAAATACCCTTATAAAGATCTGACATTGTTGAGAGAGTACCCAGCACTTTGTAAGAATTCAAACTGATACAGCCCAGACAGGTAAACCAACTGATGTATCTGACAATCACAAACATGACACCAAAGGGACAAATTGACTAGTCAATGCTGTTATAGGTTGACAAGTGTATGTGGTGTAACAGGTTAACTTTTCTAGTTTATGTGACAAAGGATTGGCAAGTCCATGGCTACCATAACTACCGGGTGTGTTGACTGCAGTGTGGAGGCTACAAAGACACGCGGCCCCCGTCCCAGGAGCCCCGCCACCACACGCAGTCTGTTTACCTGTCACCTCATTTACAGTTTCATTTAATGTTCGTTATGTCACACCTCCACGATCTTTCCCAACAATAGGAAATAACTAGAGAGAATCCCATGGGACTCTCACTGCAAGGGCGATTCCACCGGTAAATATCAAGCTTACACCTACAAATATTACAGGGAACCCCCGGGGAGTGCTGTGGTATATACAGGCCCTATGAGTGGGCTGGTCAATACATGTTGTTTAGATTATATGAGGTGCAACTCATTAAGCTTACCCTTGAGAATGATGCTACAAAGGTCAACTGTTTTGATCTACAATCATCCAAATTAAAACGAGTTCCTATATCTCATCATTTGTCTATTCGATATTGATCAGTCAGAATTTTGCACCATTTTTTCAAACCGATTGGTCAGAATTTGGTACCATTTTTCTTCCTGAATCTGATTGGTCAGAATTTGGTACCATTTGTCATCTTGACACCGATTGGTCAGAATTTTGTACTGTTTTTCTTCCTGATACTGATCATGATTGGTCAGAATTTGTTGCATAAATCTTTTGGATTTTGTCACTACAATATCTTTAGGAACATCGATTTAACTATAAAGGTAATTCTTTTTAACAATATCATTGACAGCAGTAAAGCTCCCAAAATCTGATTTCTGAAATAAAATTGGAAATCTATTGTTTCAAGAAATCTTTGTAATTAAATAAACATGTATATATATATATGACAGAAAGAAGCAAATGTGTCATGACAAAGCCAACACCATCTTAAAAATATCTCGGTGCCAGTTTTAACATTTTCATGTGAGATTGTATAAAATCAATCTTTTGCAAATAACTTACTTTCACAGGTTTCTTCTGCAATCATTGAAAAATAGAGAAAAGCAGATTTTTGAAACAAAAATGATCCTATCTAATAAGATTACATTTAAACACTTTGATAAACAAGATATCGTCCTGAAGTTGTTGGAACCATGAACGATTTGAGATATACTTTCTTATTATAGTTTTCCAAAACCTCCGACACATTAAAATATTCTCCAAACCCTCAAGATTGATAGCTCAGACACCCCTTTCCAATCTCTTCGTCTCATCGTTTATACATTTTACCACATTATACCTAAAAGGCCCACCTGAAATGGGTTTGCACTTAAAAAAGAATTTTTTGAAAGTGTATGGAATACCTCTGTATGCTTGTCTTCAAACAATCCTCATTGTGTACCTGTAGTGTTTACCTGTTAATGACGAGATTATAGCCGCGTAGGGCTCAGACAGCTTACACCATCAAATAGCCACTTACATTAACTGAAGTATGTGACAGGATAATTAAGCTTGTACAGGTACGTCTAAGTCAAGGGGGAATGTTTCCTGGAGACTTATCATCATGGCTACTTATATAGCATATAACTTCCTAGGACACCCAACTGTGGGGTTGGGTCGGGGTAACCCTAGAAACGACAGATGTAACACAGATAGAACGGTGGGAGTGTCGCTCAGCAAGGAATTGGAAGATGGAAGTGTTGCAACTCTTGTAAGGACAACAACGGAACCCAAGACAGGGAAAGAGATAGAGAGAGGCCGGGAGGGCAGTAGTCTTTGTAAGGACAACAACGGAACCCAAGACAGGGAAAGAGATAGAGAGATGGCAGCAGTCTTTGTAAGGACAAAACAAAAAGATGGGGGTGGGTGGAGGGTAGTGGGTTGGGGATTGGTGGGGGTTAGCCTTGTAACGAGAATGAGAAACTTAGAAGTGAGAAGGACAGACATCTGTGAAAGGATAATGAGAGGAATGGAGGTGTACACCTGTAAGAATGAGGGACCTAGAGTGAAGAAGGTAGTAATATCTGTAGGGAAAGCTCAGAAATCAAAAGGAATACAGAAATTTCTAAATCATGTCTATGATATTACCGTCATCTGTAATTTTATGTACATTTATTTGGGCATGGTAAATGTCCAGATAAACACGGACTTACCCTAAACGCCCATTCTATGGATTTTCGTGTCAATACTGCTTGTAAGAACTGTATGGAAAGTTTGCTGTATCCATGGAAAACTACAGAAGATAGCGGGTGTCCTTCCCTAAAAACAGACTGTGTCTCATTGTAAATATTGGACTAGATTTCCAGCTAACTTGTTCTAGATGGTTTGTCTGTTGAAACAACTAAACCAGGCTATCACGCCCAGTAGCTCAAATTACCAGGGCTCCTAAGACAATCATTGATTCGAAGACACATACCACTTACAAACACGATCACCAAGATGTTAAATATGTTCATCAATTAAACAAGAGGCCCATGGGCCTTAACGGTCACCTGAGTCTATAGTATTTATTTTTGTTGTTGAAATATGTACCAATTTGAGTAAAAAATAGTATAATGTTAACTTAACTTTGTCAGGACCATGAGCTGATCATTCCTAGACCAATTTTAAGTGAGATCGGCCTATTAGAACTTAGTAGCAAAATAGCGGCCATGGCAGCCAAATTGTATTTCTGATTGACCCGAAAAATAACAACACTTTGTCAGGACCATGAGGCGATCATTCCTACCAACTTTCAGTTCAATCGGTCCAGCAGAACTTGACTTTAAGTTTGAAATAGGTTTTCAAAATGGCGGCCGTGGCGGCCATATTGGATTTCTGATCGACCCGAAAAATAACAACACTTTGTCAGGACCATGAGGCGATCATTCCTACCAACTTTCAGTTCAATCGGTCCAGCAGAACTTGACTTTAAGTTTGAAATAGGTTTTCAAAATGGCGGCCGTGGCGGCCATATTGGATTTCTGATCGACCCGAAAAATAACAACACTTTGTCAGGACCATGAGGCGATCATTCCTACCAACTTTCAGTTCAATCGGCCCAGCAGAACTTGACTTTAAGTTTGAAATGTAAAATGTTAACGGACGACGGACGACGGACGAAAACGGATAGCAATAGGTCACTTGAGCTAAAGCTCAGGTGACCTAATAAATTTGCTTTCATTCAATAAATCAATTTTTCATGATAGTCAGCTACGTACAGTCGTGGTGACTGTCACCCTCGCAGGGTTTCAGTACCAAATCACCTGAAGCGTACTGTACATGAGTTCAAAACACATTTGATGAAATCTTTGCTCATGCCATGAATATATGCTCTACAACATTTCGTCGAATGTAATGTGTTAATTGCCGAGTTGTGAAGTTGTGACTCTATAAGAGGGACACATTAAGGACTTATGCAACATTAAACTTTACATCTTGAATTATCTCCCTTGAAAAAAATTCAAGTTATATTTAACAAGTACCATCAAAGTATTGTCCTTCAAACTTTTATTAAGAGTAAAATGCAGCAATTCAAGAAGTTTAATTTTGAAGAAATGTTGACGACAGAAATATTAAGCAAAAGAGTAGGACAAGTTTGGCATCTTTGGCCATGATAGACTTACCAAGGAAATGGATGAAGAACTGTCGAGCAGGTTATACTGGTCCTGTGACTGGATCTTCACAGCTACCATAGTACAGACATGAGTCCCCCTCCAAAACCTCTAGCCCCAACAACAGTTACAGATCTCACAGTCCAGTCCCCCTCCAAAACCTCTAGCCCCAACAACAGTTACAGATCTCACAGTCCAGTCCCCCTCCAAAACCTCTAGCCCCAACAACAGTTACAGATCTCACAGTCCAGTCCCCCTCCAAAACCTCTAGCCCCAACAACAGTTACAGATCTCACAGTCCAGTCCCCCTCCAAAACCTCTAGCCCCAACAACAGTTACAGATCTCACAGTCCAGTCCCCCTCCAAAACCTCTAGCCCCAACAACAGTTACAGATCTCACAGTCCAGTCCCCCTCCAAAACCTCTAGCCCCAACAACAGTTACAGATCTCACAGTCCAGTCCCCCTCCAAAACCTCTAGCCCCAACAACAGTTACAGATCTCACAGTCCAGTCCCCCTCCAAAACCTCTAGCCCCAACAACAGTTACAGATCTTACAGTCCATTCAGATTAAAAACACCACCGCCTCAAGCAGTAAGATCCACCACAACAACCCCTACAGTACAGTGGTTTAAAGTACCAACATCCCAGTAACTCTCTCAATCCTTTTCTTTTATCCGAGTGTCTCGAAATCACGAAATGATCAAACTGAATTTCTTCACTCGTTCTGAATGTCTTTCATCAAACTTGAGATTTATCTGAATGTACGGCTACTGCAAAACAGTCAAAAATGTGTTGACTCTTTGATCTTGCAATTATTTTTTTGAATTATTAAACTTAATCCAAGCAACTTTGCATCACAGAAATGTATGTTTGGACAAGTTGATTCGATTCAAAAGTCTGTGAACCAAACTTCCAGTCTATCGTGAATTTTGGTATGGGACCTCTTCTTTAATGTGATAGAAATGGAGGCAGATTCTCGGAGCCAAATCTGTGTCTATGTATGGCCGCACCCGACCGTCACAGCTGTTTACTACCCCAGTGGTACAACACACAACGTCAGGTGAGATCCAATCATGAGTCACATGCACAATGTTAATATTGAGTGCTAATACGTCTCATCAGCAGTAAACATTCCGATGGTAATTCTGTCTGTTGCTACAGTATATCACCCTGATCCCATTGACGAGGTATCGTTACCAGTGTTCAGGTAAAAATCAATCCTGTACGTATGACACACACGTATGACACAAAGGTATGAAGTGAGCTACCAGCCGTCATATCAGCCTCCCGAAGCAGCAATACGTTTCTTACACTCAAGTTCTCTGTCTGTTTACAATCTGCTGTCTCACTCCGCAAGGACAAAATCTGCTGTCTCGCTCCGCAAGGACAAAATCTGCTGAATCAGCAATCACAGATTTTACGTTGTATGTGATCGGTCAACAGGTGGAACAGTACCGATATGGTGTTGGTAAAACTAGAATGTCTTTGAGGTAGCCTAGTACATCTGTACCTTGAAGCTTACCTGGTGTATTAAAACACCAACCGTACTACAACACACACCATATAGTCTAGTTCACAGCCTAGGTCAGGAATATCAGGTGTACATCTATAAATAGCCTCCAGCTATCATCGGTCAGTGAACAGTTCTAGACCAAAATACCCTATCACTACCTTTTATCTAAGACTTTTGAGCATCAGAGTCTTGTGTATTGTCCACTTATTGGTCAGTCCCGATTGTACTATATAGCCAGCGCTGACCCATACACTGATTAAGACTGTAGTCTTGGGTGACCGATGTAAGTCGTCAGACTGACCAGTGTAAGCTGTCCGACTCAGACTATGTTGATTATCTGCTTGCAGTCAACTTGTCGCCACAGGATCAGTGACAGCTTGCTGACACTGACTGTGGGTCAGTCCAACCCGCGTCCACACCCGAACACACTTCCCGGAAAACACCGGACAGACCAACACAACTCTATAATCCCCTTGTACCCCTGTTTACAAGATAAGGTGTAAACCTTATAAAAGATCACACGATTGGGATCGAAGCTGCAGACTGAAGATCCAACATGGCCGTCGTGACTGCCTATAGGAAGTGTAACATCATCATAGAGAATATGGATTTGCAGTGCTGACAGAGGGAACAACTGTGTGGCGGGCTGAATGGCCTACTGGGCTTGGCTGTGGTAAGGACTGTGTGCTGGCAGACACAGCTTAACATCAGGCTGACTAGCAAGCTTCAATGCTGGGCAGATCAATACTGTACATGTGCCGAGGGACAACCCTCATATATTTCTAATTATTTTCCAGAAATCAATAGGGCCTGGTGAATTACACCAAAAAGCTAGAACTGCACAGCAAGGTTGGTTTATATTAGCACAGGTTACTTCCTGTTTAGCATGAATGGGATACACACACAGGTGCTAAATTCTAAACATACACAGATGCTAAACTGTAGACATACACAAATGTTAAACTGGACACATACACACAGGTGATAAACTGAAGACATACAGAAAATCCAAACTGGAGACACACACACAGATGCTAAACTGGAGACACACACAGAGTTGCTAAACTGTAGACACAAACACTGATGCTAAACTGGAGATAAACACAAAACCACAACTGGAGACATACACACTGGCGCTAAACTGGAGACATACACACTAGACACACACACTGGCACTATACTGGAGACACACACACTGGCGCTAAACTGGAGACATACACACTGGTGCTAAACTGAAGACACACACAATGGCGCTATACTGAAGACATACAAACAGGTGCTAAACTGATGCCAAATATGTACAGAACCAAGCCACAAACAGATGCTAAACCAGGACCACAAGCCTTTGCTAAACTGGAGCCAAACAACATTTGCTAAACTGTGGGCCTGCAGGTACATACAGATGCTACACTGTGGGCCTGGTACATACAGATGCTACACTGTGGGCCTGGTACATTCAGATGCTACACTGTGGGCCTGGTACATACACATGCTACACTGTGGGCCTGGTACATACACATGCTACACTGTGGGCCTGGTACATACAGATGCAACACTGTGGGCCTGGGACATACAGATGCTACACTGTGGGCCTGTTACATACAGATGCTACACTGTGGGCCTGGTACATACAGATGCTACTCTCATCTCACACTTCAAGTGCCTGTGCTAACATGGAGCCAAACTTCATGAGCAAAGATGTGGGCCACATACTGGCAAATCAACGACTTAAAACACATCCTGCAAATTCTTCCAAGCAGTCTACGGCTTCCAGCCTCTATCTCCACACCAAACAATTTCAAAAGTCAATTGTAAATGTGCATAAAAGGATTAATGTCCCATACATGAACAAGACTTAATTACCAAATATTTGTTTTTAAATGTCATTTAAAAGTCCATTGCAAAATTAAGATATCCAACATACATCAGCAACATCATGTATATTGCAAGAGTTTCAGGAAATTATGATTGTATCATGGCAATATTATCAATAATTATCGAAGTTCATTTCTGACATCTGTTGACAATTGAACTAGAGAATTGTTCGTTGCTGAGTTCAACCCCTACATTTTTTCCTGTTTTCTTTTTTTTTATTTCTAATTTCAAACATTCAAATTTCCAACAAGAACAATTTCGTAAAATGCTTGGGAAAACGTGACTCTTCTAGAATTTTCCTTTTGATAGTGACTGGAACAAATATTTCACAATAGTTACAATGATGATGATATACTTGTCTAACTTGTTAGTAACCTTTACCCTAACAAGGTAAACTGAAACAATCGCCACTTATTTCACCTTTGAAATATACGCTAGAGGCATTTGTTTCGGTGACCTAAATACAGTGCGCTGCACTCTTTCTCTGGGCGATACAATTCAAAAACACTTGACGTTGCATAAAGATATCTTTGAATGTTTTGAAATCTACAGCCATTAAAAGCTTCAGACTAACAGTTTTGTACATAGCTGACCTTGACCTAGAGGCATTTGCCTTGGCAATTCAAATACAGTACACTGCACACCTTCTATGGGTGGTACAGGTATACTTAAAGATTCATAAAGATATCTTTTAACATTTCAAAATCTACAGCCGTTAGAAGATTTCACTGACAATTTTAACCATATCTGACCTTGACCTAGAGGTGAAGGTCACAGTGGCCTAATTACAGTGCACAGCACACCTTCTGTAGGTGATGCAGTTATATTGAAATTTCATCAAGATATTTCTTACAGGCTAAAAGTTATAACCCAGATCATTACTAGAACAAACAGTTCTTATACAAAATACCCTAGCTGTCATTTGAAGGTGAGAAATATATACTGCAAATTAATTTACTTTTGTGAACATTTATATTCATGGATATTCCTCAATCAACATGATATTACTTCAGAATTTCATCTCCTATTGGGGACATCAACAGCAATAGATCCTTTACTGAACTGGGTTCAAATCCGTTTTCCTGACACTGAAGAAATTGTGATAGTCTTTTTTCATAAAACCTATTTTCTCATTACACACACAAAATCCCAGTAAGGCAAACAGAGACTTACAATGATGGCATGATGAAGATAATTTCAGTCGTTTTAAACCAGTATTCCTTTATCCAAAATGACAAAAATACTGTTACATATACAATTATTACAATCTTTTATCCAGAGTTGAAAAACACATTCTGTTCTTGAAATCCTTACCTTTCCCATTCTGATAATTAACTTTTAACGATGGTAAGATAAGTTCAACTTGCTGTTGTAAAACTTCATCCTTTGTAAGTTATTAACTTGAGTTTCCTGTCACACACATGACTTCAACACCACGCTAACCTGGATAGTCCAGATGTCTCTATCGCCATCAAAGGTATAAACTTACTGGTCCATGATGTCAAATTTTCGTGTCTTATATCCATCAACATTGATCATTGACTCCATAAAAACTGTTTTATCGAGATTACAAAAAGGATGGCCGACTTTCACACATGTACTACATAAGTCAATTCCTACAGAAAGGTGGTCTATATATATACTGAGGAGTGTTTAACTCATTCACCCCTGAGAACACATTTGAACTCTTCCAATTCAATGGTTGGAATAGTTCATTATTGAATTTCAAGGGTAGATGAATTAAAGCTGAAGCATTGTTAGTTTCGCACTTCTTTTTGTAAAACAGGATTCCACATCACTGCCAAAAATTAAAACTACTTTTTTCTCGCTTGACTAGAGCTTTGATAAATCATTTTTGACATGAAATGTATATAACCTTGCGGGACTTTTATGAAAACATAATGGAAATGAAATAAATATAAAATATAATCTACAAACGTGTACTGAATGTAAAATATTCTGTGGGGCCAGAACAGGATTCGAACATTGGACTTCAGATTGTTATACCATCACTGAAACTGATTGAGCTTCATGAACAACGGAAGTGTACAAGCCCGAATGTGCTACAGTTATATCTAAACAGGAGTTAAGGGGAGGTAACTGCATGTATACGGGAGAAATAACAGTGCAGTGGGACAGGGATCCTTAAATGTCCAAAACTAAATTAAAAGCAAAATTTTCAAAAGGTTGTTCTCATTCCCACAAAATAGTATAAAATATCCGAGTCGAAGATGATCTTGATTCTTATCAGGAATATATAAAGCATGCTTTTAGTACTGTAGCACCTGACAATTGTCATAAAAGGCCAAACACAAGAATTCCAGGGAAGTGGATGTTTTGCCTGCGCAGGAAGCTGGGAGATTACGAAGAAATAGATACACTTTTCATTTCAAGAAATAATGTTAAAAGTAAGCATGGCAAGTATGCTTAGCACTGCATGAAGTTTGCGTTTGATCGGCCCAAGGAAACTCAAGTAATCACACGAAAACAAATTTTCTATTTATAGTAACAGTGACCTTGACCTTTGACCTTCGGACCTGAACAGCAATCCTAAACAAGCACTTTAAGTAAGGAGCCACTGCATGAAGTTTGAGTTTTATCGGCCCAAGGAAACTTAAGTAATCACACGAAAACAAAATTTCTATTTATAGTAACAGTGACCTTGACCTTTGACCTTCGGACCTGAACAGCAATCCTAAACAAGCACTTTAAGTAAGGAGCCACTGCATGAAGTTTGCGTTTGATCGGCCCAAGGAAACTCAAGTTATCGCATAAAAACAAATTTTCTATTTATAGAAACAGTGACCTTGACCTTTGACCTTCGGACCTGAAAAGCAATCCCAAGCAAGCACTTTTGGTAAGGAATACCTATATATGTGTCGCCAGTTTTTCGCAGGCGACACAAAAAACTATTTGGTGTTTCCGGTAACCCTACCTTCCCTATTTTTTTGTGCCTACCTTAAACTTTTTAAGGCAATTTTCAAAGAAGCACTGTTAAAGTCAAGGCCACTCTCCTATATAAACCACATTAAATTATCTTTAAAAAAATGAAACTTTTTGCCTACTATACCTACCCTAATTTTTCCAATAAAATACAGGAAACACAAATATTTGTTTGTCTGTCCTACGTACACCTCAAGCCTTTAAAACTGGACACAGTGCATACTACATTTCATGATAGGTACTCATGTCACGCACACCAATTCACTTGGTATCTCCTCATCAATATCCTATACTTGTTTTTTTCGAGAAGGCATAAACTTGTGTCCGATCCATAGTTAAACATGTTTTTCTTTCCTACAATAACTACATGTAAAGTGACAGCCACACTGACCAGTATCAGTATCCTTCAAGGCTTTCCACGGGACATGGAAACTTAGTTGGTGGTCAGTATGACAGACTCAACTTTAACTCATCCACCCCTAAAGACACATTTGAACTCTTCCAATTCAAAGGTTGTTATAATTCATTATGAAATTTTTGAGGTGAATGAGTTAAATTAAGGAAGAGTGTACCAGCACTATATATTCTATCTCCAATGAAGAAGATTTCCAATTTGTTCAGCATTTCCCAAACTCGGGGGGTTGTTTGCCCATTTCAGCAAAGAGTTATATACAAAAAGAATGTCTTTTTCCACAAAAACATCCTGGCTCAGCTGCGACCATTTGATCTGCAGACCTCTTCAGTATTCGTAGCAAGCAGGGACCTTAAACACTTCTCTAGTAATAACTGCTGAAATATTATTTGAGCTAATTTCAAAATGTAC